AAATATTGATATGTCATACAATTCACCAATTATGACAACTAAATACGTAAAAACAATGTGCGATAGCTAATAAATGTTGGGGTCCCAACAATAAACATGTTACGAAAGACTACACTTGAAAATCCATCATCAGCATACAAAACATTAAACATTTGCTCACAAGGTGTTTATAGACAATAATTCCCCAACCAAACAAACATAATCCAAGGAAAATCAATCTCTTATACAAGTATACCTACCTCCAAACGTTTAGCCCCCAGTAGAGAAAAAGAAAAAAACTAAAAAATATGCCCTTATATATCACCTGTATCTTCGTAATGACAGTGGAAATGTGGTCGAAAGTAAAAATCTATATTGAAAGGGTCTTCTTCCTATACATAAAACTCACATGAGTTGTAGAAGCTGTTAGGTCAACGGCCAACAACAACACGAACAAGTATTTAATAAGAGAAACACATGTTTATTGTCGATGACTTCTTATGGACGATCAATTTATTCATTGCCATTTTCCTCCAAAATTGAAAAAATTTCTTTCTACCCTTCGTATTGCAGCTGATATGGCTCTCATGTTGCCTTAACGATTGATGTCATGAGATGAAACGGGATGTACGATGTTTTCTATTACAAAGAGTGCTCAAATTTTAAGAACATGCAAAAAATGGTGCTATGAGAATCTGATCTACATTACTCGTTTCGAGCACAGCTGTATGACCCTAGACTGCAATAGAATTTAGACATTTGTTTGACCCTAGACTGCAATAGAATTTAGAAATGTCGTAATTGAGCGGAAAATTGTTAAAACAAACATATGCAAAACTTAACTAACAAAACAAAATGACAAATTGTACACCCATCAAAAGCTTAAAAATATCTCATCCGTGAGTTATTGGTGAAAATAGTATTGATTACAAAGCAGGAAAGTAAAAGAAAAATGAACTAAAATAAAATAAACAAACTATCTATGAAATGAGATGTCTTCATATTCATTAGGAAAACTAAATAAAATTAATAAACTATCTATAAAATGAGATGATCTAATGCTCATCAACAATACTTACTGCAGGTGCCAAGCCCATATCCCAAATCAAGTAAAAATAATTCTGAACATAAAAAAGTAAATAAAGAACACACTATGAAAATTATATCATAAGAGAGAGAGAGAGAGAGAGAGAGAGAGATGAAAGCGACAATGAAAACATGAAAAAAAAAAGTTGAAAACAAAATAGAGGAGAACAACAAAAAAGATCAAACCAAGGGCAAATCATATATGTGCTATCTCTGGCGAGAGGTAAGGCGCGAGAAATAATTTTTGGGAAATATGTAGATCGAGCATAATCATAGGAGAGAGTAAGGGAGTTGTAGTCCCAAAAATTGGCCTAACGGTCTCGAATAATACTCGATCACACCCATCGTTAAGAGAGACTGGCGAAAGGGTTTTCGGAAAGAAAAAAAGAAGATTGATGAAAACAGAGTTTTTGAAATGGGTTAAAGTTCCGATTTGAAGAGGTTGGGGAAGAAGACAGAGAAATGGTGCAGAGGATTCCACGTGGTGGTGGTGAAATAAATATTGGTATAAAATAGCAAAACTATAGAAAAGAGAGAATAAATAACCAAAAGATTAAAATGCAACGGGCCGTGTAAAAATAGGCGACAGACCTAAAGAAAAAAACACATAGGCACAAATAACACGGCCCAAAACTACAGCCCAAAACGATCATCATAGTAAACATAAAGAGAGCTGAGTAGCCACGTGGCAGGCTAGAAACCCCGCAACTCTCCTTTATTAGAGCATCTCTAATGGTGTGCAATTGTAGAATTGTAGAGGCATTGGGACAAAAAAAGTCTCCAACGGTGAGTTTTTTTACTTCTACATGTGATGATGTAGCATAGGAGAGACACAAAACTTTTGGAAGTCTTTCTACATTTGAAAGCCCTTCTAGACTTGATGAATATTTTTTTTGTCCGGTCTATTTCTTTTATTTTTAATTAAAATATATAATTATGTAAGTACGCTCCTCGAAAAACACTTTATACAAATATACTACAAAAATACTTGATGGATATTACCTTTTAGTCTTGATGAGTCATTTTTTTAGTGCTATTTATTTCGTTGATTTTTAATTAAAAAATATAATTAGGTAACTACGCTAAAAGTACCTGATACAAAAATACATGATGAATACCGGTTGGGTTTTAGACTTGATGAGACATTTTTTTGACTTATTTATTTCTTTTATTTTTAATTAAAATATTTAATCAGGTAAAGACGCTCACCTTGTACAAAAATATCTGATGAATATCAGTTGGGCGTTGATAGGTGGTAGCAAATTCAAAGACGCTCTTCTGAAAAATAAATATTGGAAGTACAAAAATAATTTATAGTATCAAAAATATTGTGATTTCACGCTCGTTTAAATTTGTTCGACATTATGCCTGCAAGTTTTTTGCCTTTTTTAGAGCAACAAAAGAAAAAAAAAACACATTTATGGGTATAGACATTTATCATTGGAGAGTTATTTATGAACATGATACTCTATTCCCGCATCCACGTGTACAGAAGATCATCTATTTAATTACCACATAGACTAGAATCCATTTCCAAAATTGGAGATGCTCTTAGAGCACCCACAATGCATTGAGTCTCTTAAGAGCATCTACAATGCTTTAGGTCTAGTCTTGTCTATGTGGCATGTCAATAAACCCAAGTCTTGAATGACATAGATAAAATTATGTAAAATTTACAAAATTCACTCCAATGCAAAGAGACTAGGTCTCTACTTGGGTCTAAAATAGATTTAAGGGTAGACCGAGTCTCTTTTTCTGGTTGCCCCATCAGCAAGACTCAGTCTACTTTTATGTGCATTGGAGAATTTATTTTTTTAGACTAGGTCTATTTATTAGGTGTCATATAACTTTTTGTGGGATTGAACCCAAAGCATTGTGGATGCTCTAATAAAATATCATATGCCACATAGGAAATAAACTTAGTCTATTAAAAAATGCCTCACAATGCAATTAAAAGTGGACATGGTCTAGCTTATGTGACAATAAAAAAAAAGAGACCAAGTCCACACTTGGGTCTATTTTGAACTCAAGTACAAACCCAAACACTCATCATATATTCTTAATTTAAATTTTCTTTTAATAAAGGAAACATATTAGAGCATTTTTATTGGTTGGCATGTATGCTAGACCTAGTATTTTATTTGTGCATTGAATAGCTTTTGAGTTTTTTGACTTGAATTTTGTCCATGTCATTTAGAACTTAAGTCTATTTATATGTCACATATGTAAAATTAGACTCAATACATTGTGGCTGCTATCTATATCTATATATATATAATTGCTAGCTAAGCATTAAATTTTACCTAATAAATTTTACCTATGTGGCAAATCATTAATAAAATCTAATAAATAGAACCTAATAAATTTTATTTATGTGGCATTAATACACCCAATCTCATTAATAAGAAAATATTTCATTACATTTTTTGGGTTAATTAAGACAAAAACCATTATATTTTATGTTAATTGATTAATAATTATATTTTTTATTGAATAATATAATAGTTAATATTAAAATTAGTAATTATATTTTATACTAAATAATATATGAAAGTTACATAAAATTATATTTTACACTAAAATCAATATTTTTTTATATGATGAAGATGATGTTTATTAATAAATTAATTTTTTTTTATGTCATAGTAAAATTTCTTAAAATCACATAAGCAATTGTTATAATAAATGTAATATTTTTCAGCTAATTAATTGGTCATGATCACTCAAAATTATAAAAA